TTAATTTTTTTATTATTATTATTTTTGTCTCCCCCCTCCTTTCTCCCTCTCTCCGCCGCACTCGCATCCTCCGAGCAGGCATCCATCACCACCCGCCCCGCCGAGGCACCCTGCCTCCCGCGCCGGGTAAGTGTGGGGCGCGCGGGGGGGGGGCACTGCCAGGGCTCACTCGCTGCCTTCGCTAAACACCCTCTTCTTCTCCCCCCTCTCCTTCCCTCTCTCCCCCCCCCAGCTCTTTCTCCCCTCCTTTTCCTTTTGTGTCAGTCGGAGTTTTTGCTAGAACTACGCTGTAGTAGATCTGCCGTTCTTCCTATTTTACCCCGCTTTTGAAGCCAGCTGGAAAAACTCCTGTTGACGTTTGTAGCGAGGGCCGTGTGTGTGTGTGTGTGTGTAAGGAAGCTTTTTGCCTCTTTTTTTTTTTTTTTAAGTTTGGGTAAAGAGTTCGAAACGGGATCTCTGTTTATTTTGTGGGGCAATGAGCAGGGAGGGCGCAAGTCCAGGGCTTTTGGGGCAGAGGATATTTTTGGAAGGGGGGGAGGGGCTCTGCTTCCCCCTCCCCATCCATTTCCCGCTGGGAAAGGCAGCCGGCCCGGCGGGGCAGCGCACCCCGGGGCCGCCGAGCCGCTCACCCGCCCGTCTCTCCCTACAGGTGCTGCCCCGGCGCTCCCCCGGCCCCGCCGCCGCCGCCCCACCGCTGACATAGGGACACGCTGACTCCGGGGGTCCTCCCCCCGCCTTCCGAGGGCGCACTCCAGTCACTCGGCGATTTTTTTCCTTAAAGGAAAGCCATCCCGGCTCCTAAAAACCCACCGGCGGCGCTCAAAGCCATCCCCCTGCCCGCTCCCCACCGAGCGCCGCTCGCTCCTGGTCCGGGGGTGAGCGGGAGGGGAGGCCCGAGGCCATGGAGGTGGCCACCGACCAGCCTCGCTGGATGGCCCACCACGCCGTGCTCAACGGGCAGCACCCCGAGAGCCACCATCCCGGACTGGCTCACAACTACATGGAACCAGCGCAGCTCCTACCTCCGGACGAAGTCGATGTCTTCTTCAACCACCTGGACTCCCAGGGCAACCCTTACTACGCCAATTCCGCCCATGCCCGGGCCAGGGTCTCCTACAGCCAGGCACACGGTAAATCCGCACCCGCTGCCCTCCTCGGCACCCCCGGGCCCCTTCCCCACCCGCGTTCCCCGGTGCCCGACGTGGAGGCGAGGAGTTCCCACCCGCGGGCCGCTCCGGTTGTGCCGGAGCCGGGAGGGAAAGGAGATCTAAGAAAACAGGATAGAAAGGGAGGCACGGGTGGATTTTAACCCTAGAGATAACCGAGGTCTGGCGGAGGGGAGGGAAAGAAAGGGGGGAGGTGAGAGAGGAAGGGGAAATAGTGTGCGCCGAGGCTAAAACTTCTCAGACGCGGCTACTTCCCGGATGCAAAATACGAGCCGATTCAAATCGGCGATGGATTTGATTTGGGGGTGCTTTTAGGAGCCGAAGAAAGCGCGTTGACGGAGCAGAAGGGGGTTCGCTGCTTATTCCCGGGGGTGTTGCGGGAGGAAAGGGGGTGCTGCGACTCCTGGGTGGCTGGGTCCCCCTCCCGCTGCCCGCCGCTCTTCCCCGAGGGGCTGGCTGCTGTGTCCCTCGGAGGGGACAGGGAGAAGGGGCTGTTGCGCCAGCCTGGCTGCTCTCTGCTGGGTTGTGAAACCTCTCCCCATGCCCGGCTGCCCGCAGACCGAGGAGCCGGGGGACTCCCCACAGCCGCTCCGGGCCGAGCTGCCCCACGCTGATCCCAAACGCTCTTGTGTTCCTACAGCCCGCCTGACCGGGAGTCAAATGTGCCGGCCTCATCTTATCCACAGCCCCGGGATCCCTTGGCTGGACAGCAGCAAGGCGGCACTGTCTGCCCATCACCACAACCCCTGGACCGTCAACCCCTTCACCAAGACACCCCTGCACCCCTCGGCGGCCGGAGCCCCCGGGGCCATCTCGGTGTACCCGGGCAGCAGCACCTCCAGCACCGCCTCCGTCTCCTCGCTCACCCCAGCCTCGCACTCGGGCTCCCACCTCTTCGGCTTCCCCCCGACCCCTCCCAAGGAAGTGTCCCCGGACCCCAACTCCACCAGCGCTGCCTCCCCTTCATCCTCCGCCGGGGCCCGGCAGGAGGACAAAGACAGCATCAAGTACCAAGTGTCGCTGTCGGAGGGGATGAAGATGGAGAGCGCCAGCCCGCTCCGAAGCAGCCTCACCAGCATGGGGGCCCAGCCCTCCACCCACCACCCCATTCCCACCTACCCTTCCTACGTGCCAGCTGCCCACGACTACAGCAGCAGCCTCTTCCACCCCAGCAGCTTCCTGGGGGGCCCCGCGTCCAGCTTCACCCCCAAGCCACGAAGCAAGGCCAGATCCTGTTCGGGTAAGTGTTGTACCCCCAACCGCACCCCCGGGGTGGAAGGGCCAAGGTGAGGGCTGTGCCTGTCACGACTGGCTTTGCTGACTGTTTGGGGGTGCTGTGAGGCTGGGTGCTTGTGTCGGCTCTCTTTGGGACAGAGGGGCAGGTGGCTGCTTGGTCCCACTTTTCTGGGTTTTTAAACCAGGACATGGAGCTTCTACCAGGCTCCTGTGGGTGCCAGCACAGCCACAGAGGCCACTGAGGGCCGGGCTCAGGGTGGTCAGATGGGCCGAGGGACACGGGGATGGGTGCAGCGTGAGCCAGCAGACCGAGTTGTACAAAGAGGGATTTATATGAGGGGGGAAAAAAAAATATGTTTCCCTCGGAGAAAAAGCTGGCCCCAGCCACCCGAGGGGCTCAGGCCCGACCCTGCTCCCCCAAGGCAGTAAACACCCCCACCCCGGATTACACTGGGGACTTCCTAGCGATAGGTGCTTCTCCCTAAGTCATTTCCACGTCTCTCCACTGCCACGAACCAAGGCCCCAGCACAGGATGAAAGCGAAACTGACCCGGCCGGTCCGCTTCGAGTCGCAGAGGGCCCTATTTCCTTCACGTTTTACAGGAGCAAAAGTTCAAATATAGTTTACATACCAGTGCGAAAGACTAAGGTGACCAGTCATCGCCAACTTACTCCAGCCTAACTTGAACTAGAAAATAGTCTTCTTTTCTTTTCTCCCCCTCAACCAGCCATATCTCTGCTTCTAAATGAGGGACTGCAGACCTTTCCCGGCTTCACAGCCCTTCCTTGCATTTCTTCCTGAAAGTGCAGTCCTAAATCAGCAAATTGGGGGACGGGCAAAGTTTTGATCCCACTTTGAAATCATGCTAGCTGTACAAGTAGACAGAAGAATTAAGGCAATTTGTGTAATTTTACTAACCTTCCTGCTTTAACATCCTCAGCCATGGAAGGAAATGAAATGCAGTATATTTGGACTGAGTTTAGATAGCCCTTTAAAAATAAATGGCTCTATATGCTTTTGTGAGTGTATTCTTGTATATCATTGCCCATCTATGCTTATGAATACACCACATGTATTTATTTTTACAGTAGACAATAATTTAGAAATGTGATCTCTTATGAGTTTTGCAACAAAAATATCAGCTATTTTACAAGCTCATCGGTTCTCTTACAAATGGCTCCTCCGAGGGGAAAAACACTCTCTCTCTGCCATTATTTAAATGCAGTTGCTACAATGTATATGTATTTTTCAGTAGTGAAAAGAGCAGTAAGTAAACGCAATTAGCAGCACGAGACTCTCGAGTTTGGGGACAGATTCAAGACCCAGTTCTGTGAAGATAAAGGGATCTCAAGTAGCTTTTTAATTTTTGCCCTGTAATTGCCGATGATTTTATTGGATGGGGGAAGCTAGGAGCTTTTTTTTTGTTTATTTGTTTTGTTTGGTTTTACGTTAAGGGTTTTTTTTTTTTTTGTCTGTAAGGGAGCCCCCTGTGCAAGGAACTGGGGAAAGTTCGTGACCACTCAGTGTTTTTGTAGGAAAACTAAGACTCACGACACGGCGACTCCTGCAGCTTCCTGCCCTAGGAGGGACAAAAGCTACCCATGCAGCGCCGCAGAGCTCCCCTCATTTTTCACTCTAGACTGTGTTGTTTAAAAGCCACCCACTCCCTAGATTAAAGGAGACACAAGCCCCGCTGAACTCGACATGGCCTGCTTCAGTTATTAGCAAAAAGATTTTCCTCTCCAGTTAAATACTGTAGGATTTGCATAAACTATATTAAGAGAGATTTCTATATTAAGCAGACCTGCCCTCGAACCATCAGAGGCAAATGAACTTTTAGCAGAGAGCTTTCCAAGGCAGAAACAAATCTCTAGGAGTTACATGCTGGGTTTTAATAGAGCCGTTCTACAATGTCGTGTTTCTCATGTCGTGCTACTAAAACCAGTAACGAAACAGTAATAAGGTAAACTGCTCCCTACCAAATCCAAACCGTACCGTTGAAAAATCACAGAAACTGAAAAGAAATCAAAGCCTGTTTTTTACACCAATTTCCAGAGTGCTTGCTGAAGCTGAACTTTCTTAAATATTAGCTTTCACAGCGTTTTTCTGCCTTTAGAACAAAAATCGTGACTGAGCCTTTGGCATTCTGTAACCATTCCCACTCTGCTCGGCTTTTACTTTCTCACCCCATAGCATTTGCAACAAAAAGGAAAGCACAGAGCAGGAGGTCTTTTTGCTCAGATTTAATTCTAGAAAACCTTTTCCTTCGACTCTCTAATGTATTGTGTGTTTGCAGGTGTGTGTGTGTGTTTGTGTACGTGTGTATTTGTGGCAGGAGAACACAGGATCTAACCACTGGAGTGCAATAGATACGGGAGGGGAGCGGTGCCCAGCACAGATTAAAGGAGTTCTCGTTACCGAGACGATAACTTCCATCTGACACAATGAGAGTGTCACTCTTTCTCACCTTGCGGAAAGAGCTGCCTGTTTCTGATCATGACATAAAATACTCACCGGAGTCTGGGCGTTCTCGAAACACTCAGCTCCTTGCTGCATGTGCTGTAGATGTCACTGCTGTCTGATTGTGCTTGAATTAACACGCTGTTTTGACTTCTGGAAAATGCCTAAAGGACAATGCAAAAAGCTTTTGTGAATTTGTTTTTAAAGAAAGAAATCCGGTTTCTTCGTGTTTCCATTTAGAAGGCAGAGAGTGTGTGAACTGTGGAGCAACTGCTACCCCTCTCTGGAGAAGAGACGGCACCGGGCATTACCTGTGTAACGCCTGCGGGCTCTACCACAAAATGAATGGTCAAAACCGACCTCTCATTAAACCTAAGCGAAGGCTGGTAGGTGTCTCTATTTCTCTTGGGTTTGGGGGATAAATTAGGCAAAGGGACCACACGCAGGCAACAAGTCAAATGTGTTATATCTGCTCGGCCCCTGCTTGGAGCCGAGCTGTACTGTACACGGGGGTCAGTCACGTCGAGGTCACTGCTGTGCCTGGGGGCAGATCTCCCCCCAGCCCCGGCGTCCCCGGCACAGACCACCCCACCGTGCCGCAGCCCGCCGAGCGCGCCTCTGTCCCCAGCCTCCCTCCCGCTCACAATACACGCAGGATATCGTGTATCCGTCTCCCCGTTTATCCTGGGATGACAGCTTTTAATTTAATTCCTCATTTATTTGGCCTCTTGGGACGTTTTGGGCACATACTGGGAGCGAAAGGGTTAGGAGTGTGAATGTCCTCCACCGTGTACTAAAAAAAAAAAGTTCCAGCTCCAAAAAAGCAAAACAAATCAGATGAGTCAAAGCTACTGCTCCCTACTTAATAATTATTTGTATAAAAGCCATGAAGTAATTTTCACTCTTATATTCTCTGGCAATATTAATATTGGTTCCCTCCCCAGACAATCCCCTACTGTTTAAAAAAAAAAAAAATCCTATTATTTTTCCATGGAGTCACCTATACTTTGTATTTTCATTTGAGTGATTTAAAAAAAATGTCCTTTCTAAGCTCCTGGTAGTAGTTTCCTATCCGGATATCTGTACGTTAAAGATAAGGAAACTTTGTGTATCTGTTTCCTGACTCTAAAAGCTTTAGAGAGTTTCTATAGGCAAGCCTTGCCAGTCATGCTTGCTGTTTTGAAATTTCTAATACACTCTACTCCACAAATAATGCCTAAAATGCTAAGAATAATAAATATATTTTTTGAAGCTTTGTGATTTATGGTGCCTAAGTCTCTTAGCTATTCGTGGGCACGTTTCAATGAGGTTTGGAGAACAGAAAATTGGCATTACTGCTCTAAACACTGGGATGGGATACAGAAGATTTCTGTCATGAGTCAGAATTCCAACTATGCAAGCTTCTTAATGACTTGCCTTCTAAAGTGACTGACATATAGAAAAATGTTAAGACAACAGTGTAACATTATCGTCTCTCAGGCTCAAGTGCTTTCCAGTCTGAATGGGACAGGCCATAGAGTTAAGCAGCATAGTTGAGTATCAGTAAGCCATCTCAAATATGCAAACACAGGTCTCCACCTTCCAGTGTGCTGGAAGACTGTTATACTTAGCTCACTGCGAGGGGTTTGGGGGGCACTAGAGAGTTTTTCTTTAGTTAAGTTGTTTTAATGTTTTGTTGTAATTGATTTACAGCTTTGTTTATTGCCCCTTTTTCCACTGTAGTTTGCTTGTTTGCTGGGGAGGGGAGATGGCCATCTTTGGGAATTTGTTCATCTGACATGCAATAGCAAAGCGATCGTATTAATAATGTCAGCGTTTGGAAGTCTGGCATTAATTGTGTTTGGGTTGCATGAGCGTACTTGCAGTAGGGGGTACCCCCTCTTTCTGCCTTTGGCCTGTTCTCACAGGCAAGTAAAGGACTAAAATATATGAGTCTCCCAGGGCACGATTCTTGCCTTGAGCTTCTGAGCCGTCCATCAGCTTTGGGAAAGTTAGAGGACCGTGGTGTAAATCAGGAGCAAGTGAGGACAGAACCCAGTGGCTCCTCTTTTTGGAGCCGGGTTGGTCTGTGCTTCAAGCGGCACCAGCTCCCCAGCGGAGCCGGCTGGCAGGGAACCACACAAAGTCCTGGGCTGGGGAACCCACCGCTCCGTGCTCTGCCCATGGAGATGCCCGGCACATTAGTGTGAGCTTTGCTGCTGCCTCACCCCACGGCTCTCGGGGGCTCAATGGTAAAAATGTCCAGTGAGCAAGGCCCTGGGGAAGTCGCCAGGATTGATACATGCTAGAAAGTAAACTCTGCTGATTTAAGAAAAGAAAATACTGAGTCCTCTGCGTTAATCCAATTGCACAAAATGGACTGTACTTTGACCACTTTCAGGGCAGGGCTGAAGCTTTCTAATACAAAATTATTCCCCAAAAATATGGGGTGCAATTAGTCCAGCCATAACACTTAATACGATCGCAGGCTTGCACAAAGAAGGTATTATTGCGGGGTCTGCTAGACAAGGGCCCATCCAGAAATTACTGGCTGCCTGCTGTTCTACTTTTCCTGTTCTTGTTTTGGGAGGTGGTTGAATGTTTTGGCATTTTTCTTTCCCCCCACCTTGGTTTCAGAAGAACAATAGTTTTAGAAAGGGTGGTGGATTTAGCGGGGGGAATGTTGCTTTTTTTGAGGCAGTTGTTTGAGGGCTTGTCAGCCCAGGAACTGAGTAGGGACAGAGGCGGCAGACGGGTCAGCGGAATCATTGCTGCAAGGCATGAAATTTGGTTTGCTAAATATTTAAAGAAAGTTGGAGCCGGTTTTGTTTTCTCCCTTTCACTTGTAAATGGAAACTGAATTTTCAGTGATGGCTCTGATAAATACTGCACCCAGTTAAGTAATGCAGTTGGTTTTCTTTTGTGTCCATCTTTAAAGGGCCAGAGTAGGGGTAAAAAATCACATTCTTTAAGATCATTCCCTCTTTTCAAACCCAGTCTCAACACTGGCACAAAGTAAGTTTGTCATTTAAAAAAAAAAAAAAAAGGGAAAATGCGTTTTCATGACGAGTTCTAGAATCCTGTAAAGGAAAAACTTGAACAAATCAGATGTCATTTTCCCCTCTAAAATTCTTATTTGTGGTGTTAGAGATGTGTTGTTTCTCTCGGTCCCCAACACACATGGTGTCACGGGGCTCGAAGCTGCGATTCTGCATAATAAAATATTTGAATTTAAACAAAAGCCTTACGGCCATAAAATGTAAAAATGACAGTTTCCTTCAGCCCTGATGCTCTGTAAAATCTTAGTAACTAGTTCTACCCAACCTAAATTATTGAGTCCAACTTGACCTTTCTCATGATCTCCCTCCTGCTGATACATTTTTAATTTTCTTTTTCTTTTGGTTAGTCAGCGGCTAGGAGAGCAGGGACTTGTTGTGCCAACTGTCAGACAACCACCACGACCTTATGGCGACGTAACGCAAACGGGGACCCAGTTTGTAATGCCTGTGGACTCTACTATAAATTGCACAATGTGAGTATTTACTCATCTCATGTGTCGCTGCTTGCCCGGCTGGGATTGATGTCTTAACTGCATGGTGTACACTAGGCTTTTATTGGTTTCAGGGTTTTGGTTGTTGTTTTATTCCTTCCCTCCCGTCTCTAAGGTTCCCCTGGGAAGTGACAGCCATTCTTTGTCGGCATAGTGATGCTAAGTTCAGTGACATTACAATGTATGAGCTTGGCTTCTAACGCTTGGGCAAATCAGGCAAAATAGAGCTACCACACTTGGGTTTTAACTATGCGTGTTTTGTGTGCTGTTTCCCTGCAGAAACACAGAGGCCATTTGGAATGGGCTCTGTGCAAAAATGAATCCCGACGGGGCATCTTCCTTTTGATTTTATTATTTTTTTTTTTCAAAATAATTACATCTAAGGCTTTGTTTTATTACTATTTTTTTTAAAGAAATTAATCTTTAGCAGGAATCACTTGACATGTTGGAACGTTATTTAAACTGTGAGTAACAGAGGTTAATGTTACAAGATTGCTCATGTCTTTGGATTGAATTTGGGTCAACGTGTGCCTCCTAGTTTGATCTCTTCTATTAGGAAATGAATGAGGGTTGAGGGTAAGCCTACGGGAAAGAGAGTCATCAGCTGCCAAATTCAGTTCAATTTGTTTTTCATGTCTAGGGGTTTTTTGTGTGTGTGGTTTTATTAAACAAATCAATATAAACAAGTTCTGCAGAGAGAAACACCATTTTTTTTGGCCAGAAAAAGGTCTCCATCCAGGAAAAACACATGGGGTCTGTCCAAATATTTTCATTTTTGCACAATAAGGTCATTTTGTCTGCATGAGCCTGATTTTCTCATTTCTTGCAGGTGAACAGGCCTCTGACCATGAAAAAGGAAGGAATTCAGACCAGGAATAGGAAAATGTCCAACAAATCAAAGAAAAGCAAGAAAGGCTCCGAGTGTTTTGAGGAACTGTCCAAGTGCATGCAGGAGAAATCGTCTCCCTTCAGCGCTGCTGCCCTTGCTAGTCACATGGCGCCCATGGGGCATTTGCCACCTTTCAGCCACTCTGGACACATCCTACCAACACCTACCCCCATCCACCCATCTTCCAGCATCTCATTTGGACATCCGCACCCATCCAGCATGGTCACAGCCATGGGATAAAACCCGATGACCAAGAGACCCACCCAGAGATTAAGAACATGCGGCTTTGCCTAAGATGACACCAAGTAAGAAAATGTTCTGCCGAGAGGAGAATGTAGGGATGGCAAAACGGGATCTTTGCTCCCATGTGGTTTAACTCTTAATGCTGGACTAAAACCTCGCAAACGATGGGTCTTCTGCAGAAATGTGTAGTGGTGCCTGTAATGCACTTTGCCCCCTCAGGTATAAGGAAAAAGAACTCACCTGTTTGATACTTAACGGTCCAGCAGGAAGCAAAAGGTGGCAGAAGCTGAAGGAAAAGGCTTGGAACTGGCTTTCCTTTCTCTCTTTGTTATTACTGTGAATATTGTAAAGAGATATAAGCAGCCTCCCAGGATAGAATCGGCTTACTGGAAGCCAGACATGCTGGATTTCTATCGTGGACTCTGTTTGGGATGGGGAAAAAACATAAAAATAAAAAAAGGACATCTTTATAAAAATGTAATTTTTAAAATGAAATCAGACACAAAGTCATATTTATTTTGCTCTTGTTTTCCACAAAAAGCCTCAACCTTCTGATTGCATGTTTTCGTGCTGTTGTTTGCAATGTTAAGAAAACCTGCCTTCAAAACAAGCGGGGGAGAGGGGGGGATTAGCTCCATCTATCTTCCATACCAAAATCTCTACTAGGAAGGGTGGAAAGACTGGGGAGGGAAAGAAAGCAAAAATGTAGCTGTACGGGATTTTAATGTGCCCAAGATGGTGATTATTTTGCCTCAATTTCTTCATTCTTCTCCCTAACATGAAAGATTTATTTAAAAACAAAACAAAACAAAAACCAGCCCCCCCCTTCCAACTACCCTAGTATTCCTCAAAACAGAGAGCTAGATCAGACAAATCGTTGGGGAAAAAAACTCTCGGGAAGGCAATCCTGCGCTAGCGAGGGGTGAGATACAGGCGTTTATCACCAGTGTCACAGTTAACTTCTAGCACAGCAAAAAACCATCGCAGGGCATAAAAACATCCAACTCGCAGACTTTCGAGGTTGAAGCATTTTGTTCTGTTGTGTTGGCAGCTGTCGCTTAAAAATGCAGATTAGCTGCTTGGGTAAACTTACGGCAGTGTGGTGGCCACCACGTCCACACGCAGCCAGCCAGCGCGTGTACCGGCTCAGGCATCCAGGCCCCGGTGGACTTCACAGGGAGGAAGGGCAGAAAAGAGGTTGAGATCACTGGAGAGGGGAAAGAGAGAGAGACAATCAGTTTGAGCTTCACACATCCGTCAAACCCCCAGACACAACGACAGCTGATGAGACGAGGGAAAGCATCGTTCTAATGGGAACGTCCGTTTTCCGTAGTGTATTTTATATGAAAAAAAAAAAAAACCAGACAAAAAAAAGAAAAAAAATGAAATCTCCCATTATTAAACCATACTGTACGTAAATGACCGAAAACAAAGCTATTACCAATGTGAAGTGTATTCTATTGATTGTTATGATCTGATGCCTCTCGTGAACACAAGCTCCAGTATAACATACAGTGTACATATTTAGCTATACTTCTGATGAAAAATGCCCCCATGAACAGAGGGGTTTGATAATGTAAACCACGTAAGCTTAACTCTGTGACAAGCTTTTTATTTTTTTTAATTTTTAACTTTTTTGTTGTTGGGGTTTTTCTTTTTTTTTCTTTTTTTCTTTTTTTTTTTTTTTTGGATCAAGCCAATTGTATCTTTACTGCAAAAGTCCTGCTTTAAAGAAAAAAACTGAAACAAATAAAAATGGATGTACATCAAATTTTATCCTAAATATGTAATTCAAATATTTGATAGTGAATTAAGAACCAAGCAGCCATGAAAATCCTGCTTTCCTCCTTTTTCTGGTCTGCGTAGGCATATAGGTGCACTTTGTAAAGAAGTGGAAATAAACGGGAAACTAAATTGGTTGGGAGAAATCATAAGAATTTTTAGTCTAGCGAGGTAAAAAATTGGGTCCTTTTTACTTACTACTTTTTACAATGGTACAGCTGTACATTATTTGTATCCAACTCAAATTTCTCTAGGATTTGGGCAGGGGGGTGGGGAAAGGATGTGGGTGGAAGACAGGGATTACTGATACAGTTGACAAAGTGCAATATATTGTCAGTCACTGCAGCATAGACAACAGCAGTTGAGATTTAAATTATTTTGTACTTGTATCAGCATAAAAAAATTCTGCAGTATTTTCTGTTTTTATTTTATTTTTTTTATTTTGCTTATTTTTGGATTAGTGAACTAAGTTATTGTTAATTATGTACAACATGTTTATATATTGTCTGTAAAAAGTGTATGCTTTCCTCATATTCCTTCAAGGTGAATATTGCTAAGAATAATAAAATACCTTTTTTGTGAAAGTACCTGTGCCCAGCTTAATGTCATAAAAGCTGCTTTTAATAGGGAGAGAGGAAAAATTATCGTGGTCATTGTTGCCAGTAGAATTACTAGCTTAAACTTTATGCAGAGCGGTCTATTGATATTTCAAAAACCTACCCGGGTAGGACAAAAAAAGTAGTTGGTGAATGATTTAGTATAAAAAGCACAGGTACAAAAGCTCATTCTCCGGTGTTGTTTTGGGGTGACAAGGTCACGCAGTTAAGTGTGCTAAAGTTTCTACACCAGTTTTAAGGCAGCAGCCACATTGCAGATGATGAACTGCAGTTTCTCTAGGGTTTTTTGTTATTTTTTGCATTGTTTCTTTTAAGTGGAGAAATATTTTTCAACTAAAATCAAGTTTTTAAAAGCACCGGAAAAGCAGCCGGCTGCTTAATGGGTTTCAAGGCAGGGTCTGCAATAGACAGGGCAAAGTTCTCTGTAGGTTCTTGCACTGCTGAAACAGGCAACACCGTCAACCCAGAAACCTGTTTCTAACCATTTGGCATCATCTCTGGTGTGAAGGGAGCAAGGGGGGATGGCCAGCCCGGAGCTGCTCAGTGCTGTCCTGGGATCAAGGGGTGCAGCCGTGGGCGCAGGGGGGTTGTGCGTGTGGGCTGGCACATGAGGATGGAGAAGAAGCTGCTTACCAGGCAGCTCTCCCATGGCCAAAACTCTGCAGCTGCTTTCATCACACCGTCGAATCTGACCCACACAAGGAACTCCTTGGGGCCTTACAAAGCGAAGTAGATTCTTGCAAAGTCCCCTCGCCATGTGTAGGGGTGAGTACTGCTGCTACTAAGCCGATATTTTCGAGAAAACTGCTAATGAACTTTGGGTTTCCTCCTTTGACCCCCCAGGAGCTGTGTCTGACTTCTGTGGAAACCAACTTGGGGATAACTCCTTACTCATTAAGAAAAAAAAATAACCTCAGTTCCTTTTTCAGTGTGTGTGTGTGTGCAAATTCCAGCCCTTTCTCTCGCTGCTTCTCTTTAGCCGTGCAGCCTCCTCCCCAGCCCTGTTTGCAAGCCCTGCTCGCGATGGGCGAGGAGTTGCGGCAGCTCTAGATGTGCTGAGGAAAGCACACGCAACCGGGATGAGGCCTTCCTGCATCATTTCAGAAGAGTTAATCATCTCTCCAACTTGTTTAGCAAGGCTTAGTGCAAACACCCATTAAAAAAAAAAACAAAAAACAAACAAAAAAAACAAAGGCAGTTTATAGCATACCGTGCAAGCTTCGTTTAAAAAGAAACATGTTCATTTTCAGACAGGTTTCAAACAGGGTTATAAGTAAACTCAACCGCTCTCCCTCCATATTTGAATAGCTGAGAGGAGGAGAGAACAGGAGAACTAAAAAAACATCACTTTAAAATAATTTAGAAGCTATTTGCTTTGGTTGCATGTTACACACCCATCCAGATTTTGATGAGGGTTTACCTTGGTGTTGTCTCTCTGCAAGCATTTTGCCGGGTCGGTCCGATTCGCTCACGGAATCAGGGCCATAATCCATCAGTTTGTCCAGAGGGGTGCTGCAGCCCCCCAGCGCCTGGAGGAACGTCCCTCTTCTGAGCAGGGTCTTCAGCGGTTCCTGCGACACAGATAACACATAATCCCATGTTTGTCAGGTGGCACTAATCTGTGAAAGATCAAACCATCTCTCCGCAACGTGTGTATCGTGTTTGTCTCCAGACATTTTGCATAGCGGAAGAAAAACAAACAGCAGGGAATGGAAATGGAGCAAGTGTGTAAAGTTCAACGTAAAGTGTAAGCACAGAGCAGATATCGAGGCAACAAATTGGGATTTACGGCCCTTTCACTACCACCAAACACTGGGGGACAGGCTTTTTGTGAGGGGGGAACCCTGACATTACTTGCCTTTGGTTCCTGTTGTTGGGATTATTGTTTTAAGCCGTGCTTAATTGTCATGTCTCCACGGCCACATCAAAAGCCAAGAAGATTAGGTTACAGGGAGTGTTTGATGTCAAAATACAAAATAAATAAAAGGAAAACTGAAAAGGTAGCATATTTTCCATGATGTCTACTGAGGTTTTTGCCTCAAACATATTTTTTTTTCTAATTTTGCAAAAGTTCCACTTACAGTGACAAGATTTCATTTATTTACTTCCAAATGACTCCACCGCTTTCCTGCAACAGCTCAAAAGGGTTAATATCCCCTCTTTGATGGCAAACATGGTATAATTAACGCAAACTTCTTAAGTATCCTGGTGACCTGTAGATGGCCACATGAGAATTTTGTTATTTACTGACTTGCCAAACGTTTATTGCTTATAGCAGGACAAGTGGGAAGCAGGCATTAATTTTGATGCTGTTATCTGCGATTGTGTGTAAAGTTCATAGCAGAGAGTACCTATATGTCAACTGCAATTAAACATTTGCCTATTTTTTTAATGAATTTCATGTTGGTGCAAGGGGTTGGACTGGCAGCTTTGCAAGCTGAAATCCTGTCCATCCGCAGAGCAGGCATGATATAGCCAGACACAGGACAACTTCCCCTTACCTGCAGGCTGCAAAAGAAAACAGTCTGGCGCCATGGAGCATTTGATCCTTGGCTTCTCCACAGAGACGGTCAAATCAGGACCAACTGTGGCAGGGCACAGAGGGAGATTTTGTGGTGTGACATCTCCCCTTGGAAACCAGCCTGAAAAACACCAAAAACGAAGCCAAAAGTGGCTATCAGGTGAATATGTTCATTTATCACCAACCTGGACTGGATTAAAATGCGTGACCTAGAAGTAAAATGCTTTGTTTAGCCCAAGTCCCTGGGCCATCTGGTCCTCGCAAGTAAACATTTCTAAGTGAGATTAAGTGACTGTTCTTTAAGCATGGTGATATGAGTGCAAACCAGGCTGCTCTGGATCTGACAGATCAAACCTCGGCATCAGAGCAGCCGGCTAGTGCCAATTCAGAGGCACCATTTGCTTAAACAGCTTTGGGTGCAATTCTCCGTGGTGCCGGCTTTGCAGTCAGTCCCGATTCAGTCTGATGTGTCCCTGTCAGATCCAGGGCTCAGATTGCACCGAGGTGCTGCTGGGAGGTCAAGGGCCCCATCAGAGGAAACTTAGGGGAGAAACTAGAGTAAGAACTACACTGCATTTGCACTAAGAACTCAGTTGCATTTCTGAGCGCCGAGAGCTTGGCTGAGCAAAATTTAATCGCGGGGTAGGAGATACCGCAGAAAAAAACATCCAGCAGGTAGTAACTCAATAGAGAACTAACCCCTCCTTCAGGGAAAGGCTTCAACATACCGCTGAGGGAGGGAACTGCTACTGTTTGGTCTATAAAAACTGAATCAGGGAAGTATAACGTTAACCCAGCCTATGCAGCGATGCCAGGGAGAAAACGGCTACCTGCCTGTATCCTGCTTCCCTGCCTCTCTCTCTGGTTCTGCACTCTGGGCTGCAGGGAGCTATTTGGAGGAAAGTTGACTGGCTCAGGAGGGTCAAGAGCATGTGTAAATCGTTTGGAGTTGGGCCTATCTATGCCAGAGATTGAACATGGACCCTTGTTTCTCCTAAACACTTTTGTACTTCACCAAATTCATCCCCGGTCCTTTTATTTTCCTCTGGAGCTTGATTCAGCTCCTGCCTGCTCTCAGTCAGGCAGAAAGGACATGGCAGATTTCCTTACCTGTGACACAAAAGCATTATGTTTACTACTTTGGCTGTGATTTTTTACCTCTTGATTCTTCCCTTCACTTCCACCTGCCCACATTGGCATTCTGAGAGCAGGTTATACTGCTAGAGTGGAAATCTTTGATGGATTTTTCTGTGAAATTCCGATTAATTTACCATCTCCTGCTGCATTCCAGCCCAACTGTTAGTTATTTTTCTTTTCTATTTTGTAGATCCTTGTGAAATTTGAAAGTAAAAGCACCCCATTTTGGGAGTTAATCTGTTAGAAGAGAACTAGATGAGCAAAAAGGAACAGACCAAAACCATTCACGTAACCTTTGTGCCCACAGGCACTCTGGGCTGCACACTACTTTTTTCTATCCAAGCACAACTCCCACCAACACAGGGACGACGTTCTTCATGATGAAGCACATCTCAGAAGACAGACCCTTGCCTGACTGGTGCCAGGACTTACCCCAATCCCTCACACACTCGCTTTCTGATAAGAAGTAAAGTTACAGCACTCCGTGCCTCAGTTTCCCCTTGCAAAATAGGCATAGAAAAGACGTGACCTGCCCTATCAGCTATGTACAAGCGTTGACTCGCTCCAGCCTAGCAGACTTCTGGGCAAGTTCGAACAAATGTCAGTGTGTGGGGTGTACTGATAGGCACCGGGAAAGGGCACAGCACTCTCCTCTCTAGGTTAGAGGCTCCTCCCTGCCTTCACTGCAGAGCTGTTGCACTGCCGTTAGCCTCTCCGTACAGCTGTCTGTGGCAAAAATGACACATTGGAGAAATTAGTCATTGGAGTGTATCACCCGGCTGCTCCCAACTGCTGCGCGGGCACACACACACACAGAGTCACACACACACACACACAGAGTCCCACGCACACACACGCACGCACTGCCTCCAGCCCATTGTGAAGCAGCCCTTTCTCCATCTCCCATGCTGTCAGCCCCTGACCTTCCTTTCACATGCTCTAATGGTCACTAGAAAACTGCGAGAGAACACAGTTGCGGTATTAAATAGCCCTAATTTGTCTCCAGGCCTTTCCCCTCCTCCCCCCACCTCGGTCTCCCGCGACTTAACGTTTAAACCAGCTGAAGTTTACAACAAATCAAAGCCTCCCTATAGGCCCAGATTGTCTAAATACGGAAAACAGGAAGTGAGTAACCTTCAACGGGAAATTGTTCATCCGATGGAGGCCAAGACCCAAGGCCCGGAGCTTTGCAGTCCTGCCCCAGCACAGGCAGACACAGCATGTACCGAACGGACACTCGGCGTTTCGCAGGAGGGAGTGGTTTAGGGAAACTTTTGCTTCTCTCGCAGTCGCGTTGAGGCTGCTTCAA